TATTAAGAATACTGTATAGTTGCTGAATTACACCGCCAGAGGGTGTGAAAAACCCCTCGGGATCGTATGCTAGAAAAAAATCCTGTCTCAAGGCACACAAAGGGCCAGTAACTTCATATCGAAAAAGCATCTACTATGGGAGGCAAAAATATGCTGTCTTAGACATTTAAAAGAAAGGAGGATGTTCGAATTTTCCTTAGTACCTGCTCAGATGTACCAGATTACTGAAGTTTCGTAACAATGCAGTTTCGGACTCCACCGACTAAACTGTAGCGTTTGTATTCATGACGCGTGTTGTTACCTTTGAGACGACTATTCTATTTAGCAATATGAGTTGTGATAGAGTACATCCTGCCCACAGATTGATGCATACGCTGGTCATTCATGTGCAACCAAAAGGCACAGAAAGGTTACAAAAGATCGTCTGCCTGCAATGATCTTCAAAAACAGAAGGTATGCCCCAAAATCTATCCCACAGAAGGGACGACAACTAATAAAGAAATAAGCTCTTTTGAGGGCTTTTGAAGGGAATACATTTGACAGTAAATCTGAAATACATTGTCGAACCAACCCTCAGCTGAGTAAATTTCTACCAGAATGCGTTCACGTCCACTCGTTAGCTTCCAAATAAAAGTCGAGACAACACTCAATTTGCTCGGGTAGAAAAAAAGATACAGCCTCGCCTGTGACAGCGTGCTCCACAACAAAGTGAACGCAGGAACGGCGATTAGCATATGAATTGTTTTATAGTGGTAGAAGACATACACGACATCTACGACACTTTTTCTTCACCCACCTGTGCCCGCTGTCAAGACGAAGTCGAGAAGACTGCAAGCGGGATCTGACATGGTGGCTGACGGAACTAAACAGATCGTCCACGTGCCCGGCCGCACACAATGAATCAGGTTTCTCACAGATAAGAAAGGGGTGGCTCGGGTCCACTGTTGGGGCCACAGAGGCATCATTACAGCCTGACGCTCCGTCCTGAGAGGAGTACCGAATTATCTTGTCAGCTGCTAGCTTTCACAGTCACGGTCTTTGTTGCGTCGTGATAAATTTGAGCATGTCAGATGGTTTACAGTGAACAATACACTCTGAATGTCGGCCCCATGCTGTCTTCCCTGTGCCAGGCACCAGCCTAGTGTCCGATCCGGTCATTCGACTGATGCGGGAATTGAATACAGTGGTTGACAAGGCTAGACAGCCCGTCTGCGCTTGCCACACACCACTCGGCCCCACACAACAGACCGGGTTGTTACACAAAGGACGCGAGTAGCGTGACTCCAACGTGCAGGAGACAACCACAGCGGACACATTAAGAAATAGCCACTGAGCCTAAATCTTACATCGTCCGGCCACTTCACGCAAACATAAAATGGGTTGATTGCGATGTTTGGGTTGAATTGTCAGTTGAAAACCTTGCAAGCCAGAGTTTGTTTGTACGTCGGACAAATTCGAACGCATCAGATGAGGAATGCGCCGAAGTGCCATAAAGAGAGAGTCCCCAAAGCTGTCCTTACTTGCCTGTAGTTCATATTACTCAGTGAACCGTAAAATATCTAAGGGCTCTTTGTCTGACGTAAAGTTTTACAAATATTTGAAACATCTTTCCCCAGGTACAAATTTGAAGATTGCGTATACAGCAGAATTTATTGGAACCATAAATTTCGCGAGTGTTCATCAGCTGCGTCCTCTCGCTGCATAAATTGAGTGAAGAATGAGAAAATACCTAATTTTGCTGTATACGCAATTTTCAAATTTTTTAAAATGGAGCACTAACCATTGCGAGGGAAACACTCCTTCAAAAACTAACCTCTAGACAGCATGTAACAAATTCGGGTAACAATACGGTCACCAGACTGATTGAAAACCTCAGCACTACTTACAAAGTAGGTCCATTCCAGAGGCGCACCGCCTAAGATCTCGGAGAGCTCGGGCGTATGACCGTCCTGAGTATCACAGGAGTTTGACTCGGGTTTTGAGCTTGTTGAAAATTCACTTCCCAATCCGGTGTTACGCTCTGGAAAGTCGGGAAAGTTGGCATAGGTGGACTCGAGTTGGTTGACCTCCGACAAGGGATCAGTCGTAGGGGCTTGGCAGTGGGTGAGGAAAGCCGGGCCTCCAAAAAGGACTTCCTCTTCCTCCTCGTCCTCGTCCACGTCTCCATCTCCATCCCCTTCCACTTGCTCACCGTCCTCATCATCGTCATCGCCGTCTCCGTCGTCCACCTTCACATGTTCTCCAACATTCTTTGCCAGCTGATCCACAGTCATTGAATCCCTAAAGGCGGGCGCAGACAGGGAGAAATGTACGATGCAGATTGGACCACCTTACTTGTTAAAATATTCTTGATCGAGGAACAAAAGCTGTGCGTAATTCGAGTCGGGCAGTTTTAAATCGAGGAGCATTATAGTCTGCTGCATATTTGCATATTCTCAAAGTAAAATGTTTTCTGGGTATTCCAGCACCTCGCAAATGAAAGGTAAAAAAGATAGGATTTTGAAGAGCGCTTCCAGCCAGAATAGCACCTGTTAGTGTTTGGACACTTTATAAGCGAAAATGTGTTTGGTTTTTCTTCAAGAAAGAATTTTCGAATTAGATTATTATAGATAAAGGGAAACTTTCATAAGTTTTTAGTAAAATCTTTTCTGAGACATACTTGTTAAAAGTTATTAGCAACATAAAAATGAATTGAATTTCCATGTCAATCTATAATTATCGTGTGAATTTCAAATTCATAAAACTTTCTGTATGTAACGCCCGATGTGCAATTTGAAGTTGGTGCTATTTTTGAATCATCTGTCATAAAGAGATGCACTCAGAAATGCTCCAGTCCAGCGTTAAACCTGCTCCGTATTTTCAACTTACGCGAGTAACGAATTCCACTAACTGGTTGCGGTATAGGCGTATACATTTCCTCGATCGCGAATAAGTGGCGTGTCTTTTGGGAGCCACCGAAAAGCGGTCCCACGTCCGATGACGGCTCGAAGAAACAAAACAACGGCTCTAGAACGCGCTTCGCCTTGGCTAACAATTTCGGCTCATTCCGAACAATGTCATTGACACTAAACCGAGCCACATTTTTGTAACTGAATGTTCCTTTTTGTAGTAAACGACATGAACTGATGCCTGAAACACACTGATCATTCGAACGTAAACACATCTTATTCCGCAGGGGAACATGAACGGAATTTGGTTGAAATTTGGGTTGGAATCGCTCATATGGTTCCCCGGTGGAGAACCTGGAATAGGCGCACTTTTCCTCATCACACAAGTGGTCTTGTGCCAAATTCCAGTATGGGTAAATATTCAAGCGCCCTAAACCTAAAATTAACTCTAGTTCAAACGTAAACCGTAATTCTGAATTTAACCTCAGCCCTAATTTTCCTAGAGGCTGGTGTCCAGTCGTCTGTGCTACGAGTGGTTCCTGTTCCCGAGTGCTGTCCGTGGGAGGGGATATAAGCCTTCCTCACCGAAATGTTAGCACGTCGCCAACCTCCAGGCGCTTGTGACTCCAGTTCCGGTGGATATAACTGTCGAAATAAAGACTCTAAGCGCATAGAAAAACCAAGAAGGATGCACATTCTTTAGTAGTCTCTGTATTTGAACCTGTCTGGATGTAAGGTGAAGCTCACGATCCCTTAACGCTATTATAATGAATGGGCAAACGAAAAAGAACCGGCCAAAGATGACAGAACGTAGACCGTCCAGATGACAACCTTCTGTTGTGGTGCTGACGACTATGATATACAGACGGTCGGTGCATTGTCCAACATCTGTCCTTGGCTCGCTCACAAATGCGGCTGTGAAAAGCTTCAATAAGAGGAAAGAAACAATTAAGAAGAAAACGGAAGAGATTAAACTGCAATATAAGCGAAGTCTTTGTTCGTTGGCGAATACAGCAAAAGAGTACCAGAAGAGCACAGACGAAATGTTAGTAACCCAAAAGAGAAATTCCGGCGAACATTATCAAGGGCCACTGAAATCACGGTTAGATAGCAAATACATTCCGGCATCAGGAGTTCGGGTAACATATTAATACCTAGGTGTTCACAGTCCGGAGACGATGTGCCGGGTGTTTTTAAGCAGGTCTAGAGTAGTATAAATAGTTTTGGCCAATATCTGTGCTGGCAGCATGGTCAATAATTACATAAACTATGCTAGAGAGTTGTTCAGGGGAACCAATCCTTCTAACCCCGTAAATAGTTAAAAATAGGCATATATGAGGGCCCAGGCGACGTTTAGTGCAAAAAGCGGACTACTCAGGTCTGGCTGTGGGATATTTTGCCAGGCTCGGTTCCACTTTCGTCATCGACCAATAAAGCCTTTGCACAAACGAAGGGATGCGGGAGGTTTAAATTCGGGAATAATGCTAAGTAAACGCCTCCCAAGCCCAGCCCCCTCCTCACGGTCGACCTTCCGCAATGTAGACAGCGAAATCCCTCCCTGTCCCCTCGTGGGGTGACAAACGTAGCTAGCTTAGATAAAAATTTATGCATGGGAAACAGCATCGCTCGTGTAGGCCAGACCGACCATGAACCTGCAGACACGTGTGTCTAACATCAGTAATATCAGCAGGGGGCACCGTGGGACTTATTTGGTGGGCGGGAGCCGGTTCGACTACGAAAAACCGATCATTTGCACCCTGTGGTGTGCTTTGACTGACGGCCGAACGAGTTTGATAGAGCTACCTAATAAGCACAGTTCATGAACATGTAGCAGAGGTATTTACAAGTCTGTTGCCAAATTCTTTCTCTAGGAGCTAAATGTACAATTGGAGCGGGGCATCTTAGTTGCAGACTGGGCAAGACTTGTTTAATTAGGTTGAAATCAACCGCAGGAGTTACAAACTTAATGCTGTTCCATGTATATTTAAATGTTAATTTACAAAGGGAGCTAACAAGGACAAAAAGGCGTGTTTAGATTTCTGTTTCATGTTTTATACCGATCATCAATGATTTGTGGAATTTTTCCTCCCAGTGAATAAATTGTCTGCCTAATCTCACGATAACCGACTGACGTTTTGCACTGCTCAGTCACAAGGACGTCACCCTACAGTGTGCGCAAACAAATTCCATAGGGCTTGGTTATATGCCCGCATGCTATGAAATTGTGTTAGGGTTAAGGTAAGGTAAGGCTAGGGTCAGAGTTAGGATAGGGCTAAGATCCGGGTAACGGTAAAGGTTGGATTGGGGTTGGGACACGGAGGTTTTTACCCCTCCTGGAATTCAGAGCAAGAGATATGCATTGCGTGAGAAACATAGTTATTCCCCACTCCTGCCGCGGTACCAACTAAGCAATTGAAACGACCTTAACTGACCTATCAGTCACTTCTCAATTTATGCATACAAAGGCCAAACCATGAATGAACGCACACCTGTCCATTGGCGCCTAAAGCAAACAAGTTCCACATCGGTGGCACAGGTACCGAACAGCCAACTAAATGCCAGGCCGAATTCGACCAAATTATAAAAACAGAGGATGCCCGATTATGTGATTGCTCTCGTAATCGGTATTCTCCCCTGCATGTATTCTTAATTGCTATGCCACTGCCTGCGAAGGCTCTAGATTGAGGACTCGAGGCGAGACAAGTCGATCATGTCCCGTAACCTGACTGGTAAGCGGAATTCAACCCCTCGTATGGCTGGAAGACTATTTCTATGTTCAAGCTGGCGTTTCGCCGAAATTCCGAGCCCACTGTCGAGATCATAGTCAATTGTAAAGTAGGTCATACAGCTCTGTTCAACTTTGAACACCTCCATCAGCAATGACCTTCAGCACTGTAACCGATTTAGTCCTGCAGTTCTTGGTAAGTCGGTGACAGATCGGTATGCCTAGTGACCGAATTATCGTTTGGATGCAACATGTTCTGCAGGTAGCGTGAGGCCCGTTCGTCTGACTGTGGAGCCACCAGAGACAGGTAGCCTTTTCGCTTAATAGCAAAGTCACGTACGGTATGGCGGGGACTGCATGCAAAAGTCTTGGTGAAATTTGGCTTGGTAATATAACATATATTTGGTCACGTTATTTTGATCCACTGAGTGGATTTAATCCTAAGAAAGCCTTTTAGTAAGGAAAACTGCCTTTTTAGTTCTGTTTATTGACGATACTAGGCATTAATTTTGACTACACCAGGAGTAACCTGATATCGAAGAAACTTCTTATGCATTAAGTATGACAGAACCAAACATTTTGATAATATGCATTAAACTATGGGAGAACTCCGAAATAAGAAAAAAAATTTAAAACATTTTTCTTCAAGAACCGGAAAATTGCCTCCGAAGTTGCTCAAATGCAAACAAAGCTAGGTTTAAGGAATTCCATTTATTTTTAGAAACAAAGAACAATTTCAGTTTTTAAAAAAGTGATTTTTTGCTGAGGTATGAAGTTTTTTGCCACAAAATGCAGTAAAAAACGTTTTGGCCGCATTTTATTCTACCGCATCAACTATTTGGGACGTAAGCAAAAGTTCCAATATATTATCGCGAAGATAAAGATAAAACTAAATCCTGTAGAACTATGCTATTTGTGCAGTATGATTTCCACTTATGCGCAATTTAGAAATTGAACAGACAAAAGATTAACAATTATATAAAAATCTTAGTATGTATTTTGCCACTCGTTTTTGTATTTTCAAGGTTAGAACAGGGGCTGGAAGTAATCCACTATATTGAAAAATACTGCAATATAAAGGGAAAGGTGAGTCCTTTCATTTTCAGCTACACTGTATCACTTCTCTTCAGGTTAATTAGAAAACTTGTTAAAATCTCCATTTTCATTTTGTAACATGCACAGATATTCGTCGACTGAATATCTAATTAAAGTGCTTTTTAAAGAGGTGACCTATTGTATAAATTTATTTTTATTAATCTTAGGAATAACAATATCAGAAGTCTGTTGCGGACGTTCTTTTTGTTCGACAGTGTTTTGCTGTTTGGAGGAATTTCTAAATATGGCCCACATGGCCATCTTCATAAGAACTAATATCCAAAATTCCTTTTTTCGGTAAGTTTTTTTTAATACATATATATCTTATTTTAAAGGTTTATATGAACATCAAACAGAATCTACTTATATGAAATACAGCTTGATAGTAGAGAAAATATGTCGGAATTTGAAGGTCCATGTGTAAGTAATTGTAATCAAATAACGGCAATATTTTTAAAATGTTTTCACTGAGGAAAAGTTCTTTTGATCTAAAGAAAGTGGTAGGGTTATCCATTCAGCGTACGAAAAAATTTAAATCTTTTGTTCTCTGGAACTTGAGGATTATTAGGAAAATTTTACTTTTCATATCAAACAATTAGTACTTTTTATATTTATTGTAAGTAACAAATTTGCCTAAGATTATTCATTATTATTTCTACTTTTTCGTACCTTCGTGCATGCCGTTATGCGAGTAACGATCAGTCCTCCACAAACTTCGGAATATTGCATACAGCCCTCGCCATACTGTACATGCATCCTCCTATGGATATGTCCGTGAATTTCACGAACATTATTGACTGCTACGAATTGTATTCAATCCAGCAAATAACGTCGGACTGTTGACTGACGTTTTGTGGGTTATTTGTTTGAATCAACTGCCAGCGAGCTATCACTTCCAGTTTGTGTGCTATTTGAGTCGAAGTTCGGAAAATCGGAAATGAATCATGTCGATTCCGTAAACCGCCTTCGTATTTTCTTTTTTATTTATTTGGGCTTGGTATATATGCATGAGGTGGTTGATGATCATATGGTAGTGGTAGTTGTTGCGGTGGTGTTGGTGTTAGTGGTGCAGATGGTGGTGGTCGTGGTTTTGTTGCAGGTAGTGGTGGTGGTAGTAGTAGTTTCTGCTGGTTCCGTCGCCTGCCTCGCATTATAACCACGGCCGACGAACGGACTTTGAGCTACTTGTTTGTTGCTGATTGTCTATCTCTCCGTAGCCGAGTACTGGCAAGATTGCGTGACCTTTGTCTCCATCCCGGCTGTTGGAATCGCTCGTGTTCGTTGTCCTCCCCTTTCATCATGAAAGCGATTAGTCATCCCTGCACAGCAGATTTGACTTCAGTTTCCTGGGCGCGTCGGTGGGTGGGTGTTCCATTTTGGTCGCGTAATCCCCGGCTGGCTTGGCGCTAGCTGGATCCTCCCTTCTCCGCGAGCCTCGGCTGTTGGATTAGCCTTGCTCGTAGCTCCAACGTGTCCGTAGTGCGCAATATAGGGGACGGTTCGTTTACTGGTCTGTCCCTCTATCGTACAGCAATAAATACTATGTGCATCTTCTATTTCAAAAGGAAGCAGCCCGTTGACCAGAAAGCTTAGCTGCGTAAAACTCCTCTTCCAACTGATTCAAAGACACCATAATGACCACTGTAGGAGAAATGAGAATGTGAAATATTTGCACTAACAGCTTTATAAATAGGTGGAAATATATGACATATAAAGACGAAGGAGTCTGGAATAACTATTTCTGGCTTATTAGCCGTCATCGGCCAGCTATACTCAACTCCAACAAGGCCACGGGTTTGAGACTCGAAGGTCACTAACCCTGGGATTGGTATGGCTGGCTGATGACGGTTACTAAGCCAGAAATGACCATTCTAGTCTTACTCGTCTTTATTGGCAATTTCATTCTACTTATATTATGTGTCGCTCCGCGGTTGCTGGCGCGGCTAGGGAGTGAACCTCAAGGCACGCGAGGGCGAGATTGATTCAAACTAGCACTAACCGATCAACTAACAAAGCAACGAGCCCGTGGTGCAATGGTAGATTGGTAAGCTCAATGACCAAAGGTCCCGAGTTCGAATCTCAGGGATTCTGACCCTTGCGATTGGGTATGACTGGCTGATGACGGCTACCGAGCCAGAAATGGCCATTCTGGTCTCCCTTTGCTTTGTCGGTTACATTCCATCATATTTATATATGCATAGCAGAGACGGACGACATTATTAGGGCAACCTGATACAAAAATGTTTCGGGCTTATTTGCCCTCGTTCAGCCAAGCATACCCAATCCCAAGTGTGGAGCACCTAAGATTATAGAGGGCTCTAGATTGAGCCTCAATGCATAAAATGACGAACCTGTCCCGTAACTTTATCCATAAGCGCCATTCTATCGTAATTTATATATTAACTCGGAGCTTCATAGCCTGATTGTAGGTATTTACCGGAGAGACATGGGTCTGTGGTGGTATCCATCCACTAGAGGAATCCCAAGGGCGATGCGGGCCTCCTCGGCAGCCCTCGATGCTGCAATTATGGCTGCTGAGGCGATCATTTCGGTGGCATTGAGGGCGGTCTGAACGCCAACAGATCTGGAGCAACAGGAGGAGGGATGTCGAGCGGGAGGACAAGTGCAATAACAGCTCAGTTCACTGCCCGAAGTGGTGCAGAGACCACCGCTGCCGCCGATCGGTATGTTGCAGTCGCCGGGGAGATAAAACGCAGCAGCGCCCATGGTAGAGGGCTCCTCGGCACTGCGGGAAGAACATCGCCGGATGATCTCAACTGCGACAGGATCCTCTGTCCGTCGGAGGATCTCCATGGCTTCATCAGGTCCCACGCTCCGTCCATTTATCTAGCGCAACATAAAATTGTTGAAGCATATTTTACTGACAGAGCCTGTGTAGTTCACAATCGCAAAAAAACGGTCGCTTAAGTCTTCCGAAAGGCTGATACCAACCGATGGCAAACGAGTGGTGCAGGCCCTTTCGGCCACCTGCAAAAACCACGCTCGGCAAAAAATGAATGGTCAGGTAGTGTGCACTTTTTTTCCTTTGATTTCGATGTCCCCATAAGTTCGTATACATTTCATAGAAAACATGCCCAAAATGTGTGAGAGTCATCAACATCTTAAAATTCTAAACTCAAAAGAAATTGTCTTTCGGTTTAAAAAATTCCAATTATGACCTTTTTAAGACCTTACGAAGTCAATTCAAACTGCATCTAATCCGTACTTTTGTAAGTGATCCTCGTGAAGTATACAACAGTCCACACCAATTAAAGCATTTTACGGGCACTGTGTAGTAGTTTCGAAGTGCCTTACAGGAATGCATGAATTCCCTTACAGACAAAATATAGACAGAAAATCTTAAAAGAAGATTGGGTTCTAAATTATTCGGGAATTGACATTTTTAAAACCGAAAGATATCCTTGCGTTGAGTGAAAATTGTAAGAAGTGTAAGGTTCTATCAAATGAGCTTAGGAAATCATTTTTGGGCATGCTGTACATAAAATATATTTGAAAATTAACAGAAAAAGATACGCTATGCAAATAGTCATTTTTAACCAAGTATGGTTTACGCAATTGGTCGGAAAGAAGTGCATTCAAAAGTCCACGTCCGAAATAGCACAGGATTAGGTCACAGGATGGTAAATATTACAGCCCTACTTATATATTCATTCGTAATCAAAACCGCACTTCTGAATTGCGATTAACATTTCCTGACCTCCATCACTGACTTCATGTATGTATATATTAATACATCCAAAGTAGTGAATTTCAAGCTTTGCTCATTTAAACAACCATACCAAATAAATGTGCTGACTTGATGATCTTTATCCTAACTAGAGAATGAAATTCAAAATATGGACTTTCGGCAAGTGTATCTTTCGTTGCGTTCTATTAGTTTTTGAAAACAAAGTCTAAAGTGAACACATTTGTAATCGCAATAAACAACAATGACTGGAAAATTTCTGGCCCGCACTGTACACGAGAAGTAATTATTTATCGCGTGTTGCATCATTGTTGGTTGAATTTTCACCAGATTTCCTGCCGTATGTGTGAAAAAGAAAACAACAGATTCCCGGAAAATGATGGAAAAGTAGGTCTTTAGGTTCTCGAGAAGAATAATTTAGGCGTTTGAGTCTTCGGGTTCGTGCAAGAATTCATCACCGGCGACAAAGAAAACAACAACAAAACCCCCCCGAGCGCATTCTCACCTAGCAGATACCAACACGTTATTAGCTGAAAGACGGTGCATATTTGATGTACCCTGTACCTATGGAGCTCGAAGGCTCAGGCAAGTAAAAGTTTCGTTTCTGTGACACGCGTTACGTAGATATGTACACGGCAGAGTCCTGCATTATTGAAGCAATACCGAAGGAGATAGGGGAGGTCGAATTGTCTGCTACCTACCTTCACCATCTAGACACTCTCAAGCCCCAGGCAGAGATTATATGAAATTTAATTTCAGGCCAGCCTTTTGCAAAATCATGCGCTCCGGATTCAAACCCTATTGACTTGCGGTAGAGAATACACAACTTCACATAGGAATATATCCTTCACCAATCTACCGTGTTTTCAAGACAGAATGCATTCTAGGTTACAGTCGAGAGCCCACACAAATGACGAAATAGCGATAACCAACAAGGAATCGCAAAATTCTCTCTGTAATTTCACACGGAAGTATGTGGTTAGAAGTCAGTCATAGAGAGGGGGACGCTTTGTTGACATGAAGCCTGCTTTTCCTTCTCATTAATCTCGTGTTTTGTTGTAGGGACCAAACGAAGGCGGCCGTGACTACACGAAGAAGCATGTACACACACACACAAACACACAACTCTACACGTGCATGACGTGGTCTCAGCGAGACACGGTAGAGGCGGACCACTGTCTGGAGACCTACTGCGTCATAGGCTACTTTCGGAATTCACAGATGCGGATTCCTTCCGTTCTGTGCATGCACATATGCGTACGAGACCGCGCTCTTTCTGCGCTTATGAGAAAGTTTTGAGGCCGGTCGGTACACCCGCTGTTTGCTCTCACGCAAGTTTGTGCGTTTATTGGGGTCACAAGGTTCATACTTTCTGCCTTGCGTAATTTCTGAGGAAAGTAATGCGCAAATATGGAGGAATTCCTTAAGAAGAAACCTTTTTTACGTTCGGTCGGAATGTTGCTGTTAATATTTTAACTGAAAGCTATTACCTACTGCAGAACAACCGCGTAGCATTCAAAAGCTGTCAAGTGCAGTCAATGCTATAAACTACGTAATTAGTTACCAGATTGACAGCGCAGGTATTAGCTAAAAGCCCACATATTTTTGTTTCATCGATACCGCCTGAATGCCTGTGGATAGCTGGTGAATATTACACAGTTATTGCGTAGTAACTGGTGGACTTCAGTTCCGATATTCATATCAGTTATCGGAGCAAGCCCGAAAAGGTTAGTTGCGAGCGGTTTACTTCACGTTTGCGCATTAATTTCCTCGGAAATTAAGCAAGGCAGGATGGAATCTGGAGTTCATATGCTAAAAAGTCCACGGGAATGCTGGGACCCCACTGATGAACCGAAACCCTCATAGCTGCGTCAGACAGCGGCAGTACAAAATCGGCGAAACACGCATTTCTGGGCTTTTGACTAGTATCCGTGCTGTCAGCTTGGTAAATACTTGCGTGACTTATATTTGATTGTTCTACGGTCCCTCGTTTAAAGCATAACAAATAGGAGGGAGGGTGTGATTTTCGATGTATCATTAACGTCTAGTGGAGCGCCGAATTTTTATCGGAGAACCTCCCACAGATCAACGATTTTTAAAATAAATATTCGACCGAAATTACATGAGTAGATTGCACAGGATTACGCCTGTTTCTCTTCTTCTTGCGATCGGACTGCACAGTATCGACCAAAAATCGCTATGCAAAGACAGTTTTTTCGTAGACCGTGCGGAAATTCTCGGTTCATCATATAAGATAAGGAATGCTAGGAGCGGGACTAAGATATTTGTAAAGTAAGCAGATCAAGTAGAAGGCCCTGTAAAAAGTAAAAAAAAACTGCGTGAAATTAGTGGACGCCAGGCCTGGATACTGTCGACAGGAATTTGCCGACATTATCCACCTTAAAATTTCCGACACACTGGAAATGGCAGCCTAATCCAGTTGGCCCGAATCACGTGTTGGCCACGTCCGCACTTCTGATATAATGCTCACTGCGTGAAAGGAGCCAAAGGATCAGAATCACGATATACCCATGTAAGCCCTTGATAGCTCCAGTAGAAGCCTTCAAAAATGTACCATAGTTTTCGATCTGCACACAATACGATATAAACACGGCGTTCAGGAAGTCAAGTTAGGCGAACGAACGTTTTCGATTAATTCCTCATCAGGCAGTACTAATTACTATTGATTGGTTGCTTAAACTTACGTTAACTCTACCCTTTGCCACGTTAACACAACCCTTTAAAGGAGACAACATCGCGAATACAATTAAGCGAAGACTACTTTGT